CTCATGGACTCCCTGCAACACCTGCAAGCCTCTCCACCTCGTGCAGCTGCCCAGCTCCACACCCCCTGCCCCAGCAAAGCAAGCAGAGCAGGAACACACTGCAAGTTTACTGAAAACAGAAGGTGAACACAGCCTTGCACATAACTCAGCCTTCCTTCCAACGCCTGGATGTGGCAGCTGGCCCTTCCTGCTGATCTACAATCCCTCTGCAGCTCTTCATTAGCACTCCCCAATTTCTCAAAGACATCTTGCCTCACACATACACACCAGCTCTCCAGAGGAGTCACCACAAATAGAAGTTACGACTCAAGAAGAAGCTCTTTGATCAGCTGTGCAATGTGAAATTATGAGGGATGCAAAAGCTATTAAATCTTTTCYGTTCTTTGGAGCCAAGGGACTCTGAAGATAAAAACAAGCAAACCAAAATGGACAATCCTCAGACAACAAAGTGCAGCAGGAAGTGGAGCAAACTGGGGCAGTGTCTGCACACTTGGCATCTCCCTCTGTCTCCATGGGTCTCCTGAGGCTGCCTGGGGTATCAGAGCTTCATCCTTCTGCTAAGGAACTGAACTGGCTGCTAAAGCAGCAGAACTGACACCCCAAGACTCACACCCTCCTCATTTTCTGTACGAGGGTTGCCCTGTGCAGGGACAGAGAAGGGTTCTAACTCTTGGGTTCACAGAAAAGGAGGATCCTCCTCCATTTACACCTTGTTTGTTCCACTGATGGCTCTACCATCTTCCTGCTCCTCAAAATCCACAACTTCTTTCATTTACTGTATTCATCAGAGACTTTAAGCCTTTCTTAAACCACTTTTTTCTGGACTGAATCAAGGCCTGCCTCCTTCCAGTCATATTTAGGCCAAAGCCTTCATCCCAGTTCAGATTACCTGAGTACAGAGCTGGGGTTATGACAGCAGAAACAGGCCTGTCCCACCAGGTACAGACACTCAAGGTCAAAGTCCAGAGCAGCAGACACATCCAGGCACCAAGGACTYGATTCTTGGGAGCACGGAGCTTCCTGGGCCTCAGCCACCAACATATGCAAGTGGGAATTCAACCACAGGATGCAGGTGGGTTTTGCACAGCTCCTCCCTGCTCACGCTGCCTCTGTCTGCTCTCTGAGAACCTGGAGCAGATTCAGGCACCTCTGGGTCTGTGCTATGTCTTCAACTTCTGTAGCAGAGGCCCTTCCTTTGCTTCCCTGGACTCACTGGATGACAGTGAATCCTGAAGCTCCAGCACTCTGCCCAGCCAAAGGTGAAGCCTCCACAAGCTGGCACAAGAGATGGGATTGCTGCAGAAAGGAAAGATGTGACTTCCCTGTGATTGGGCTGCTGGGWTGAACTAAAAGGAGACAAATTTTCTACTCGCAGCATTTTTTATTGGATAGCAACCTTCCTACTGGGGTTATTTATAAAGAAGTGTTACAGACTGTGTTAAGTTATACATTGCAGAATTTCAAAAGATGACTTAAAAATGACGATTCTTTTTTTCGCTCCCCTCTTCTCCAGAATTTAGAGTAATTTCTAGGGAATTTTATTTCTTTCCAAGTGAATACTTAAGGATCCCATAAGTATTGTGGTATTTCCATGTGTGTCTCTCACTGCTTAATTCTTGCCTGCGGCAACTAAATTCACTTAGATTCAAAAATGATCTCAAGGCTGATACACCAAGGGGTAGTGGGTAAAAAGGCTTCCCTGGAGAGTTTATGGATGTCACAAACACAGAGAGGGCTGAGATGCTGCTCTAGAGAGTCTGGCTGTGGCTGACACATGATCCAAGAGTCATMTCAGCTCCATTTCCATGCTCTCCTTATCTATGGCAAGAGAGAAACCAGGAGCACCCCAAGGATGATTTAAACAGCAGCTCTTTAAGTGCACATCAGAGAGTCTCCCACTCCTTGGATCTGATCAGGGCTCCTCTGGMACCTGAATGGATCTGAACTTTGCCCTTGTCTCCATCAGAGATTCTTYGCCTGGCGCCAGCATGACCCCTCAGGTACTACAAGGGCACTACAAAGTGACCAGGAGCAAACTTCTCCCTGTTGGAAACTGGGAGGAGGGGGCTGCATAAGGGACTGGCAAAGACTCCAGCTGACAGAAGCAGCTGCAGAAATGGTCACGATGGAAGGAACAAAAAAGGGTTTTGCCATTCTGGGAAGCTCCTGACAGCCTGTCTCTGCACAGTGTGTCCAGCCCTCCCTTCCTGCTGCTCCACGGACTCCTCAACTCAACTGCACCAAACCCCAGCCTTTCTCTACCCTTCCATTCCTATGCGCTGTTCTTAGACCAAATATTGTAAGTAAAGTAKCACTGGAGTTCTTCATGAAAACAAACCAAGAAAACTGCAGTACATTGTTTTAGAGCCTTTCCATTCACAATACTAGCACAATTCAGCCAAGGACAACTTGAAGGTCATTAGAACAGATCCAAGAGAAAAGGCAAGGACTCAGCTGGCTGCCAAAGGCTGTATGACTGCTTTGACAGCAAGAGGCATCTCCTGTACAGGTTTAAACACACACAGCTTACCTAAAATGATAACATCCTTCTACATTACTTTCTATTTAATAACTGTATCCCCTGCAAAACAGATCAACAGCACAGAACAATTTGTTACTTGTTCACACAGGATTTTCTGTGGATTCCACAGGATTTTCTATAGGTTTTGTAGTGAATTTGTTATCTGCAGAATATTTTATCACAGAGAGGACACAGTTCTATTAGAAGACAAGTGTGTTTATCTTGTGCTCTCCTGCCCATCAAGCAGAACTCACAATAAGCTGAYGGGGATAATATCTGCATGGAAAATATTGATACATTAGCCAGCATATGTGGTRCCCTCATCTAGGCAAATCTCAGTTTAACCCCTGCTGAACAAGCCCGGGTAATAAATCCAGATGTTACCTTTGCCAGCAAGGATTCACACCAATGAGCAGAATATAATTCACCTTTTTTTTTATTCCCCAGTGAAAGCAAGACCTAGGAGTGCCAAACCAGTGCAGAAMCTTTGCACAGTGCTGTCACTTCCCAGCTGAAACTTCTCACAAAGACAGCAGCTCCAGGGCTGAATTATGACAGGGCACTTGTCCACTAACTGAACTCATCTCCACAGCCCACCCAAGCTTTGGGTCAGCAAACTGCCTTKTCTCCTCGAGGGCAACTCCTCCTGCCTCTCTGCTGCTGAGATCTCATACTGATAAATAATTCATTTTAAGGYTGTTAACCATGGGCATAGCCAAGGCACATCAGCTCTCTTACCTGAGCCGTTTCTGCCTTCAGGATGGTTTTGTGAAAGGTATTCTCCAAAAGCCCTCGCCGCTCTGTGTCCCAGCATCAGGAGGCAGCACAGGAGAGAAAAAGAGAAATGGGTGATGGTTAAAGGCCAAGACAAGAAGGAGCAGTTCAATATTCATGCACTGCTGTGCTCCTACAGCTGYCATTCCCTGAGCCTCAAGTGACACCCATGGAAATGTGCTGCAGAGCACTGAGGCTTCCTTGTAGCACATCAGGATTCGAGTGGTTCCAGTGGTACCTCAGTGTTCTCCTGTCCAAAGGGGGAAACAGCTGGATTAGAAGTCCTGTTTAGGCTTTAGCTACTCCCTTATAAAAATGCAACATAAAATTGAAATGCACCTGCATTAAAGCAGTGATGCCCATAGGAACTGGCTCACTGTCTCCAGCCCCCTGAGTTAAGCCCCTTCTGGCAGTCCCGGGAAGGTTTCTCCACTCCATCCTCCAACAGATCCCGTATGCTTCCACATGGGAGCCACCACAGCTCTGATGTGGGTGCTGATGCCCATTTTACCTACCTGAACCCTAAGTTCTCAAGCCCCCAAATACATGTCGGTATTTGAATTAYTGGACAAGCTTATTTGAGAGACACCCACAACCTCCCACAAAAGCAGTTCCTGCTTCTCTGATGGATTCCGGTCCCGTGGATGACCGAGATTTTACTGGAATATATTAAGAACCAAACAAACAGGGTGAGCTCAACCCTTATCACACATCCAGGCCTACGTAACAGAGCAAACCTATGAATATTCCAACCAGGGAAGAGCTTTCTGCTTGCAACCCACACAGGAAAGGAATCCTTGGTCAAGGCATGCATTCCCTGCAATACAGGAACCTCCAGACCCCAACTGCCAGGCCATTTGTAATGTCCTGCTGCTGTGATTGCTCTCCTGTATACAACAGASCTGTGACTCAAGAAAGCCAATACTAGAGCCAGCCTTTCCCAGCCATCCATTTTCCCCAGGTTTGTAGAACAATCTCTCCAAGGTCTGCAGCATCTCAAACAGGCTGAGCTGCCAACGGGAAGCCCAGGGTGAAGACTGGCAAAGAAGGAGGTGAAAACAGCCACCCACCTCCTTGCCAAGCCAAGCCACGCCAAGCCAAGAAACCCAGAGCTGAGCACTCTCAGCCCTCAAGCACATCAGCATCTCATAGGGAAGGACAAGATTTGCTGCAACAGGGAAGCCTCTCCATACCGAGCCATCATGTCCACTGTCCTCCTCCTTCAGAGGTGCTCAGCCTCAGAACATCCTCTCCAGTTCAAGCTGCTGCAAAAGGTTCATAATGGCCATTAAATATCTAAGCGGAAAATGGCTTTGACCTCCAAAACCACCTTCTGCTTTGCATATCCTAACTTTTGCTGCCAGGATTTTCCTCACTGCTTTTATACACCATCTCCGAGAGGAGAGAAGGTTAACAAGGCTACAGTGCATTTCCCAGAGTGACTTGGGCTGCRAGGAGTGGGAAGTCCATTTGTCATCCACAGCTGGCAACAGAGGATCAATATGAATGATGAAGAAAGAGCAATTTAGTCTCCCSGGGACTAAATTTCAGAACAGCCAAATGCAAAATGTTTTGCAGCAGCACAGCTGGTCTGTGCAAGAAGCAACGTTTAAGATTCTGCGTCTTTACAGACTAACAGACCGCACTGAGGTTTTCCCTCTTTCTGGATTCTTACGTGTCTAGTCCCAGGCTGTACTTTTAGACACTGGCTTGGGGTGGCAGCTGCCCAAACTGTCCTCTTCAGTGCCTAACACTTCCAGAGATGGTCACACATGGGAAGCTGTCAGCCCACAATCCCCACTACAAAGAGCAAAGGGATTGACCATTGTGGTTCAAGCAATTCATGGATGTTCCTGGCACCCTCAACCTTTCTGTCCAGTCAAAAAGCAGGACTAGATCCTGGAGTAACACACAATTGCAAAGTTGGGACTGGAGCGTGGCTACTTCAGGCAAGTGGTTTAGTTACCAACCCTGGAAGTACAGAYGTGGAACTTGGGGGTATGGTTTAGTGGATGTGCAAGGATCTGGTTTGCAGTCGGATTCGTTTATYTTRGAGACCTTTTCCAACKTAAACAAYTCKATGATTTTAACATCAGGCTACTCAGCTGCAAGCAAATTCATGAGCAGCTTCTGCACTCCGTCTCAGAYGTGGTTAAAACTCAGCCAAAGCCATGTGTGATTTTGCACACCACAGGCAACAGCACAGCTTTCAGCACATGGCTGGGCATGAGATTCCAAGATCTCTTCCACCAAAACTTCCAGGCTTCCCATGGAAATGTCKGTCCTTGCAGGGCATTACAAACATCATTCACAAACAGGGCACGCACTTACACTCTTGGGAAAGACTTTGAAGCTTCTCTTTTGCATCAGCAGTCATTCCATGTAGAAAAAATAACAGTGAGCAAGCTCTCAGGTAAATTATCAGTGAGAGAACATGGTGATTTACACAAAAAATGATGACTGAATTTAGTCTGTAACCAGTTCAAAAGCTCCACAAGCTCCAAATTAATCTGTCATTCTCTCCATTCATCTCTTCCCCAATGCCTGAAGATCCTGTCAGCCTGAAAATCTGAACCAACGCTTCACCTTCAGCTTGCAAACCACAGGTTCAAAAAACCGGTACCAAGAACTTCTTAAGACCCAAACTGCAAACGGGCTAAGACAGAGCCAGAGAAGCACTGCTGCTCTGCAGGCCATCTTGTTCCATGGTGAAAATGGTGTCACTTAAAGCCCAACAGCATCACTCAGAGTAAGAGCCCAACAGTGTCACTTAGACCAAGAGCCCAAGCTGGAAGGTGCTACAGTGTCTCTAACACTGCCTGGTTTCCCCAAGCACAGGAGATGGGACTGTACAATCCCAAGTGTCAGAGCTCYCGGAGAGCCATACCCTGAGCTCCCAGCCATACTCTGGGAACAGTCATACCCTGAGCTCTCGTGCAGGTCAGCAGCCAGTGAAGGAGCACGGAGTTGTGCAGAAGCATTGCTCCCTGCCCAGGCTGACCCTGCAGTTCTGTCCTGGCCATTCCACTCTACGGCTCTCAGACCCCCCAGGCCAACCCAAAAGCAAACAAATGTGGACATGTGGGCACAGATCCCCAGCCACAGAGAACACACAACAGTGCCTGCACAGCACAGTGTGCAACAGGGGGTTTCCAGCCAATTACACTGGAAACTTCACACTAATTATTCTGCCTATTATCTCAGTGGTTCCCTTCTACATTGCTGCTTTCCAAGTGCCATCGGCTTCTCCTTGGCCRTGCCTCAGCGGAGCTCCCGCAGATGGCTGCACGTGCCCTTTGCCAAAGGGACTCTGATGGTCACACTGGCTCCTTATGGCTACTTGCCCCTTGCCAAGCCTTTTGTGTCCCTTCCCTGCCCTCACCATGCTCACAGCCACCCCAGTTCACCRGCACTTGCCTGGATCATTAATGCACCGTTTCCCCGCTCTGCTTGGCTACCCACTGGCTTGATCAAAATAAAACCAGAGCAAAATTCAAACAGATGGTAGCTGTTCTATCCATCCCATTCCTTTTTCTCTCTTATCTATTACCACAAGTCATGCAATCAGCCTTTTCTCTCAGCTCAGCCTTGCCTCCACTATCGCTGCCAATGGAGTTCAAGTCCCCTCATGCCATCGGACAGCACTGGACATAAAACCCTTCAACTGAGCTCTAAGTAGAGACACCTTGGGATAATTTAACTGGCAAGAGATGAAAAAGAAAACTTGTTTCACATAAATGAGATGAAGTACAAGGTGCCTTACAGCTACACGGGCCGGTGAGCTATAACCCTGAGTGTAYGACACTGCAAAAGCTGCATACAAATGAGCAGGTAGCACTGAGAGGTGRTCAGATGATGACAGGACAAGTTTAGCCCTGACTCATCTGGARAGAGGTTTTCATTTTAGTGGCAGATCAGACCTGCGTGTCACACAGTCAGCATAGCTTGATTTAACCAAAGGACATCAAGCAGGGAGCAGGGCTCTAGCACGCTGTGCTGCTCAGTCTAACCAGCACAGACAAGCCTCAGAAAATGCCAGCATTTCCTCCAGCATTCCATCAGAATGGCTCCAGGGAGGGGAGGAGGGATGGGGCAGCACAACACAGGCAGCAAAGGCAGCTGCCCTTCTGGGGGCAGTTTGCAGTACTCACTGTGCCTCAGATGTCAGAGCCGCACTCGGGTCTGGAAGAGAACTGTGAAGAAGCACAGACAGTCTAGACTGAGATTTGCTCGAAGGAGCAAAGCCGCCAAATAACAAAGATCTCAATTACAATGTGATAAGCACAGAATGGCCTTCATGTCTCTGAAATAATCACATCAACGGGATAAAAGGGGCCTTGATGCACACGAGCAGCTATGAGAAACTGATGCACATAAATTTATTCACCAAACTGACACTTACASAGTGAAGAAATGMGGRTTGAAACACTCAGAGATACAGGAARGACCTCASATAACTCCATTTAAAGCACAGCAGCGAGCKAAGCARAACCTGGACTATTCGGGAGTATTACATAGAAAAATAAAGAACACCCACCACCTTCTTGTGCTYCTTCAGAAGTAATGCCCAGAGGAGTTACAGCAGGAATCTGTTGTGACAGCATCTGACAGTGCTGCATCTCAGGCACACAGGAGAGAAGAGACCTGCATCATCAGGACCTACGTCCTCCTACAGCAGCAATCCCGCTCTTGTCACCAAGCAGAGAAGGGAACACCTCCAGCACATCCACAGTTAACAGCTCAGTCATTAAAGACTGTTGACAACTATGTTATTTAAGCCTAGTAGTAACAATACCCTGACAAAAATTGGTTTTTTTAAATATCTGTGTAGAGAAAAGGTAGCTAGAAAAATTTGGTTTTAAAATTCTCACTCTCAGTAAAGGGATTTTGGATGTCAGTAATGGATCTCAGAGACCCCACAATCTTAGAGCAATTTATGATCACAAAGTTGGGACAGGAGGAGACAGGAAGAGTAGGCAGAAGTTAAAAGAAAAAGGCAATCAGAGAGACCGTTCATACCACTCATCAGAAAATTCACAAGCAGAAAAAAAAGAATCTAGGCTCCAAGAAGCCCAAGCTAAGCCAAAAATCACTCACACAGCACAAAACCTGGGATAAGGTACATGGTCACTCACCTCTGCGTTTCCTCAATGAAAAATTTACCCTTTCACAGCAACTAAAGCCACTCTTCATCCCTTTCTAGGCAGTAGAGAGGGAACCAGACTAAATTCTCATCTCTCTGTGGGCTCTTGCACTAGATGGAAAGGTTATGAAATTGGGCAAGACGAAACACACTCTCAACTCAAACATTTCTTGCACAAGGACAGCAAGAAGAGATGGTTCTGGAATACCCAGCAGAAGCCTCATGTCTGTTTGCTCTCACCATCACGCTCTCCTAAAGAACAGCTGTAGGCCAGCACAACACAGAGCAGAGCCGCAGGAAAACATCTGCTTTATTGCCACATTTGGGATGCCAGTGTTTTTCTGTAGGTGTCAAGGCAGCAAGGGCAAAGAGAGCCAATTTCTAGGGGCTTTGGCTCATTTGCACCCTTGGAAAAGTTCTAAGGAAGCCAAGGAGCMCAGGTCAGACACCCACAGCCAGGTCCTGGAGAGAACCTGCTGAGCCCAACTGGCAGCAGCCTCGGCGCTGTCAGCGGAGGGGCAGCATCAAAGTCACCGCTCAAGGACAACTGCGTCAGCCCTTCTTTCGGCTCTGGGGCCCAGGAGCTGCAGGGCAATAAAAGCACATGCAGAGAGGGACAATCTGAGGGGGATATCCCGCACCCAAGCCCTTCAGAGGTCATCAGCACCAAGATCAGCCCCTTCCCGGGCACTCAGGATGCTGCAGCTCCCTCAGGAGAAGACGACCACGGAGACCGAAGGCAGCAGCATCGCGTGTGCTCTTCACGGTGTTGGCACAGGGCAATTGTGCTGTTAGTTTGTAAGAAGCTACTTAAAAGACCCAGCACACAACAAGCTGCGTGGAGCTTAATTAATTCTCCTGGGACAGGAGACTCCCRAGTCGCTCTGCAGAGATTTTGATTTAAGAATCTAGGGAGCCTGCACCTCCAGCTTGGATCCCATTATTCACACCAGCAAACAAGCCTTGCTCCTTTCTCAGTAAGACAGTCAAGTGTGCACACACACTCCAGCCACACCTAAGAAACACATACCATAGCCACTTGGACTTGCAGCGGAATTCCAAATGATTTTTAGCTCTAAAGAGAAGTCAAGAGAAATACGAAGAGGGCAGAGCCCAGAAGATGCAGAGAAGCAATCCCAGGGCATCTCCTTCTGCAGCACAAGAACAGGATCCCCCCACTGCCCACACCCCCAGCGCACATGATCATTGCAGCAGAGCCACCCACACAGGTGACMCAAGTGGCCAGCCCTCATGGAGTGGACAGAACAGGCTGTCTCTGTAGCCTTACCCAGTGTCCTGCAGAGTCCTTGCTGTAGGTAAGGACATGGGGAATACATGGAGAAGGACCCAGGACAGAGCAGAGGAGCTGTGTGTGATGTGCTCCAGGAAACCTTTCAGCAGGTGGGTCTTTGTCACTGTAGGAATTCCAAGCTCCAAGGGGAGCAGGGACTGAGCCGTGCCTGGAGTGGCAGGATGGAGGCACATGGACAGCRCCTGTCACCCCCAGCTCCTTCTCCCTGCAAAGAGGCTCTGCAGGGACCCCTTCGGTAAGTTCACTGACCTCCTCAAATGACTTTTGGATCAGGAATTTCTAGCACAGGCATCAACAGGGAGACACATAAAAGCACTTTTCCTGTGCTGTGGTCCACATGATCAGACACTCAAGGGCATTATGTCCCCCAGTCCAAGGCCACTCACAATTTTTTTGGTCAAACCACCTCAATTCACACCACCCAGACACTTCAGAGCTGCCACAAACCTGTACCTGCAGCCTGCCAGGAATTATAGCAGGTATGGAGCAACCCAGAACCCCAGAGACACCTCCTGGACTCCACACAGTTAATATATGACAATAACCTGAGCAGCATCTGCCCACCCTGGTGTAGGCTAACAAGTCATTACGCTCAAAACACATCAGTCGCTCCCAAACACCCACACTACCATTTGAAACCCTACCAATTACTGAGTGTGTTGTTTGTGTGACTGCCTAATCCCCCTCCCAGAACCCCATCACAGCATTTATGGTGCTTTATATGTCATTTCTGTACATGCACCTGGCTGACATCACCACACAGAATCCCACTGCCAAAGCTCTGAATGCCACAGAAAGCATTAATGTTTTTATTACGTTAGGGACAGGGCGCAATAAAATGTCGGGAAAAGTTGCGGGTTCTGCCTGGAGAGCTTTCCCTTGAGATACTTCAGAGTTTGAAGGATGGATTTCTTTACAACTCAAACAGATGGCAAGACACAGACAGCTTAGCATCTCTTCAAGCCRTAAGACTTCTCTTTCCTCCCATCACAGCAGAGATGCTGTAATGCTGAGCTCCCGAGTGAGGTGACTGAGATCTCTCAGCAACATGGAATGAGCCCTACACGCGACTCCAGGTTATTCTAATGCAATTCTGTCTAACAACACAAAGAAGGTGTTATATAATGCAACGRAAAAGTTTATTTCTCCCCAATTTTTTCCCCAGCAGCAAAAAGCCAGTCTAGCAGTAGCAGGGACAGTGACAGACCTACCCCTGGCACAGCTGTGCTGAAGGCACAGCTAAAAAGCTGCGCCAATGCCCCCAAACAGTCACCGGATGATTGTGGTGCCACTTGCACTGCAGTGTGGAAAAAGGGTCCTTTTAACTGGAAAAGGGCAATAAGGCAAAGCTATTCTGAGACAGCATTTTAAACCTAAGCACTATTAAACAGCAAATATATTTTTTAGGCTCTCCCATGTTTGATACTGAAAAGCACGGGTACCAGGCAGCAAAGGAAATTCTACTGTAGGACAWGCAGTATAAAACCAGAACAGGCACAATACAGAGCTTAAATCCCTTAACTGCTCCATGTAGTGGCTTGGGACGCTGCTGGGCAGGGCAGACGTGGTGGGTGCAGATTTTCACAGAGCAGTTTTTCCATTCAAAGGAGCGAGACCYCTTGAAAGAGGCTGCTGACATTGCCCTCGGACACGCACACGGCATTTCAGCCGAGGAGAAATCACCGGGCAAACTGACCGCCCTTCCGAATTCCCGRCGATCATAAAGATCCATCCCTGACRAACCCACTTCTGACACGCTCCTTACCAAGCCAGCAAATAAAACCCGCGGGTGCTGTAGCCGGGCCGGCGGCGGGGACACCTTTGGAGACAAGTCACCTCTCCAAAGGCTGTGGGTCCGCCGGGTGCAGGAGGAGCGCGGCCGCCCGCTGTCCCCAGCAAGTGTGGCTGCTTTGAGGGGATCGGGGCAGCCAGCGAGGGGTACCCGCCGGCAGGTGCCATTCCCAGCCCCGGAATGGCCCTGCGGGACAAACCCCGGGTCGTGCCCGCACCGGTGCCTGGGCTCGTCCCGAGGCTCTCGGGGCTCCCCCCAGCCCGGCACAGCCCCCGAGGCGGCCGGGGGCGAGCAAGGTCCGGCACCGCGGGGCCCCTCGAGGCACCGCCCGCCGCACCCCCGGCACCCACCTCACTTTGGCCGCTACGGACGACATGGCCTCGTTCCTGAGCGTCTTCCTTTTGGACACGGCTGTGCCCATATTCGCGCGGGGGGTCGCGGCCGGGGGAGCGCTCATCGCCGGGCCCCGCGGCTGCCCATGCCGGGGCGCGCCGCCGCCCCTCGC